CAACGTGCCGGAACCGTGACTTTTGCTCATTTCTCTTTTGCTCCAATCTTTTTTTTTTTTTTTACTACTGTTTTTATTGGGTTTAATCTATAGCCTACCCCAACTTGTTTGGGACTAAAAGACTTTGTTGTTGTTGTTGTTGTTGTTGTTTTCTTTGATAATGGAATAATATTATATTTAACAAAAAAAATCAGTACGACTACTTTTAGGCAAGTCTAAATGTTAGTCCGCCATATATTTTTAATAATTATGCGTACTTCTATATTAAAATATTGTACTATAGAAAAACATAAATAAAAGTATACCTGAAAATATTTTCAAAAATTGTAGTAAACGTGTAAAATAGCATGAAACATGAAATTAATTTTATACTTAACATAATTTTGTTTCAATCTTTAGGTGTACCGATAATAAAATGCAAACGCTAATATTGCTATAATTATATTATCTATTAATATATAATAAGGATTAACATAATTCATTTTTAGAAATACTTTCCCGCCAATTTCATTAATTATTGCCTAAAAATAGTAAATTAAAAAATCTCTATTTATTAGCATACCTTTTTTATCCAATTTTTTTTAGGAATACAATAAAAAATATGGAATCAAAATCAAAATAAATCTAAGAAATACACTTACCATATTTAATGCACTTAATTTAAGAAATACACTTACCATACGTATTTTTAAAAAATTTTAAAATACAATTTAAAACATTTAATTAATAATTATCAATTAAAAATTCTTTTTAAGAATCAATCATATTTCTAATAATTGTTAGAAATAATTTATATATATATATATCTATCTATATATCTATACTTATATTAAAAGCTAAACTATTTACTAAATGTAGTATGTAGAATAGTCAACTCTAATTAATGATTTACTATTTTTATCAAGCATTTAATTAAAGAATCTAATATTTTTGGTATGCAAATCAAATTAACATTTAATTAGTTCCTAAAATATTGGGTATGCAATATTAATTTAGAAATACACATGTAGTTCCTAAAATGTTGGTATGCAATACGTAAAATAAGATTTTTTTAAATATAAAATATTGCAACACCTAAAACTATTCCACTTTTTTTTTTTATATTTTATTTTACATATAAAAATTTAATCAATATTTAATGCATCCTACAAAATTGGATTTAGTTTAATTCTCCATACAATTGGTTGTAACTTTTTCACTTGTACATTATTTATTTATTTATTTTACACTTTTAAATTAATGAAGCTCTCCAAAAATACCAATTGAATGATTTATGAAAGTTTTTTTTTTTTTTTACAATTTTAAATCTATATACCCAGCTTAAAAAGCTCATCGCATATATGTGGACGAGTTTAAGAAAATTTCATAACCCAACTTATAAAATTCCATCTGCACGAGTAAAAAAAATCACATCCCTCATCTATCGTAACAACTTTAAACATAAATAAATAAAAGTCTAAGTACTACTATAAATCCATTATCTATATAGATTTTTTAAAAATTTAAATTTCACCTGTCTAATTACTAATATTTTAGATACTTTTAAATATTATTTGTATAATTTTTTTTTACACGTTTGCTCTCTCTCTATATATATACATATATGGAGGTTAAATGAAGAATTTTTAGACATATTTTCCTTACGAGTAGTTTACAAAAATTTAGGTAGCTTCAAACATTATTTGTGAATAATATAGAATATTTTAGATGCTTTTATAGATGTTATAAAATATTTTAAGTGTTTTTAATATTTATAATTCACACTTAAAAAGAATATTTTGCCAAAAAAAAAGACATTAAATACACATTGTAAATGTTAATAGAAACGATCTTCAGTGTTCGTCTTTGATTTTGTCAAAACAAAACTCATAAAATCGGTGAAGTCAAAATTTGTACGTAAAGTCTATCTATATTAAAAAAAGGTAGATTCAAAATTCTTTATCTAATTTCTTTTTTTCCTTATCTAATTCCTTCTTATTATCTAATTGTATAGAAATCTATTCTGATTTTGTTCAATCCTCTAATTGTATTTGTATCATATCCCACAAAATCGGTTTAACAAAAAAAATCTCATAACATTCGATAAGTAAAAAAAAAAGTACGTAAAATATTTACTAAAATAAAAAGACTTTATTTATTATCTAATTTATTATCTAATTGTATGGAAATCTGTTCTGATTTTATAGTGCGTACTATAAATTGTGCACCCGTGTTCAGGAGCTACTTAACGGGCAAGCTTTGTGGAAATAACTCATTTAGTGCTTCTGTCCTGTACATACGGTATGTATTTGTATTACACATACTAAAAAATTGTGCACCCCGTGCGTCGCACGAACTCTGTACTAATAAATGACCTTAAAATTGTGCACCCCGTGCATCACCCGTGTTCACATTTTGGCCTATTACAGGTCACGTACTATATATATCCCGTACATTTTTCTTTATTCATTTATATAACTATAAGATTTGATAAATAGCCTTAATTTTGTGTACCCCGTGCATCGCACGGGATCTGTACTAGTATATATATTAAAAGCCAACATATTTACCAAAAACAGTAGCAAGAAAAGTCAACACACATTTAATGCATACTTTATTTGGAATTTTTTTACTATATGCATTAAATGCTTGCATATTTACATTTACTATCCAAATATGATCTTAAAGATTTTTCTTAAATAATTTATGCAATGATTTTACTGATATCCATTATAATTAATATTTGTCGAGTAATATTTTTTAACCTTTATTTAATTATATAACACTAATATTTTTTAAAAAAAATTAATATTATTTATTATTTAAAAGATAATGATCACATCATTAAATTATTTTATTGATGGTTAGATAATAAATTATATTAGTTATTCTTTAAAATTTCGACATGTTATTTATTTGTATATTATTGTCAACTATGATAGTATTTTTATCACTTTTTTTATGTTATGTTTCAAAAATGAGTTAGTAAAATATTTTTCTATTGCATAGTATGTTAAATAAACTATAAAGCCTTATGATGAAAAAAAAGAATTATTATGAGAAAATTGAAATCTAAAAAACATGTGTGCGTATTTTGTAAACATTTATACTCAAAATTTTATTTTGAATTTCATTACATAAAGAAGACTACTTCTATAACTTTTATAAACAATAATAATTACATTATATGACTGTAAATTTTATAATAAAATAATAATTGAGTATTATATGGTGAACAATAATTAATAAAATTTTTATTTTTTCTTATATCAATGAACAAATATGTATTCTAAATCAAATAAATATTAGTATGACGTGTTAGCGGAATTATATATTAATTAACATGTTAATTTTTTGACTTAAATAAACGCCACTTATTAAAAGATGTGAAATATGGATGATCCAAGCCTATTGTTTTTTTTGTCTTGAATGCAAGATATTGACTGGTGATCATGCTGGCGACACAGTGTTGATTCCTAAAATGCATATTACTCCTTATGATCTTAGGGTTCCATTTAAGTTTCAGCGGCGGCAGTTCCCACTTATGGTTTCGTATGCCATAACCATAAACAATAATCAGGGACAGTCTTTATCCCACGTTGGTCTTTTTCTAAAGAAGCATGTCTTTAGTTATAGTCAATTATATGTTGTTGTTTCGCGTGTGACTAATAGAAGGGGGTTGAAGATATTAATTTGTGAGAATGAGGAGTTACCCGATAATCAAACTCATAATGTTGTGTACAAGGAGGTCTTTAATAATATATGATTGATTCTTCTTTCAATACTATTTTATTGTACAATTTTCCTGTGTATTGTACAACTTTTATTAAATATTGCATATTAAATTATAATACTCCTCAAATGAATATATCCCCTGTCTCGCACAGGTCACGTACTATCCCGTACATCTTTTTTATTCATTTATATAATTATAAGGCTGGATATATGGCCTTAATATTGTGCACCCCGTGCATCGCACGGGCTCTGTACTAATATACTTAAGCAATCAAAGTGTGATACTTAGAAGATATATATTATACTTCAAAATATATTGAGGTCATTACAAAATTAGGTATATTTAAAGAAAAATTAATGTGCATCTAATGCTTATGCAACAATCCAACCTAAGAAAGGTTTCATTATAAGAGTACATATATAATAATTTAATTAATACTAAAAAAACTAAAAATATTTAGTTAAAAACAATAAAATTCATGTTCACACGTTAAACTAAGCATATCAAATAGGAAAATGATACAGTCCTGAATCATTTCGTCGGTTTATAACCGTTAGATCTTATGTAACAATCGAGGATAGTTGATCTAACGGTTACAAACTCCGACGGAATGGTTCTGTAACCGAATATTTCTTGCAGGTTCGTCCCAAGACCCTGCCCGGAATCACTACTAGTGCAAGTAGGTTATTTGGATCAGGTTTTCACCACATACTTTGTTTCAAATATAACTCAACTCAACATTATTCAATAATATCAATATAATTAAATAATATTAATCAATTATATTTATATCTATTAATATATAATAAGGATTAACATAATTCACTTTTAGAAATTCTTTCCCGCCAATTTCATTAATTACATGCTAAATTTAGAATGTTAGGACAATTTGGGATAAGAAATTAATGAGCATCCATAATTTTAGGAATAAATTGATATAATCCGATTTTTATTCACTTTTCAAAATTTGGTTAGATATTGATATCTGGAATAAACTGATACATCCATAATTTTAGGAATAAACTGATACAATCTCAATTTGCTAATATGTAGGCAAACTCTATGGAATAATATAATTTCGGCATGGACATGGTCGTACATCTCCACTGCTTACCGATATATATTATTTATTTATTTTATTTTTTAGTATTTTTAATACAATGTTTAATAAG